GAGTGTGTTTGGTAGGGATTTTTGGGGGAAGAATTGATTTTTGAATAGTGATTTGATGAGAAATGTGTGGTTGAAAAAGAAGAAAAAAGTATTGATGTGATGAAAAATATTATTTTATTGAAGAATGTGTGGTTGAAAATGAGAATTGATTTACTGTAGAAAATGAAAATATGTACCAAACAGGCTCTAAAAGTCTTCAGTTTTAAATATGTGTGAGAAAGTGTGAGAGAGACTTGTTGAAATGGAAAGCCTACTTTTCCAGCGGTAGGGAAACAATTAAGGTTGAGTTTGTTTTGTGTTTCTATTTTTAGTTTTGAATTCATTTTTTTTGTTTTCAGTTTTGAAGGATTATTTTGTGATTTGTTCATTCGAAAAATTGTTTTTCAAAACAAAAAATCAAAAAAAGCATTTGGTTTAAAAATTTTAGAAATAATTTTATGACATTTTTTTTTCAATTAATTTGATTATTTAGTAAAACATATCAATTTTATTCTTATATGTGATTATTTAGTTTTATGTGTATTTGTATTGGGTAGATTTTGTTTGATTTTATTAATTATTTTAATTTAAGAAATATTTAAGTTCATTTTCCTTGTTTTGAAAGCACTCAAAAAGTTAAAAAGTCATTTTGAGTTTTATGCTGCAAAATTTCCTCGTTTTCAAAATCACATTTTTAAAAATAACATACCAAACACGTTTGGAGTGTTTTAGAAAGGGTTATTAGCACAAAATGTCTCTACGTTTAGAGTTTAGTGTGCAAAACGTCCCAACGTTTCAATTTTTTACATTTTCACCTATATTTCCACGTTTTATTGTGGAAATCGTCATTTTCATACATTTTCTCAAAAAATGACAATTATACTCTCTTGTTTAAATAAAATAAAATAAAATAAATAAAAATAAAGAATAAATTGTAATCATACTACCAAATTTTTCAATAAAATACAAATAAATATCTTTTCCCCAACAGTGGCATAGCTAGGAGGAGGCGCTACAAAAGCGCCTGCAAAGCAAGCCAAGGTCAGCATCTCTTTTCCAATCTCAAAAAAGAATCAAAAAATGAAATTTTCACAAAACTTAGAATTATTTTCACGATTATTTAATAATGATTTTGTAACAGTTAGGGGCTTTAAAACCCGTTGGAGCCCCCGAATACCCCCTCAAAAGAAGCAAAAGAAGATTTGCGTCCCAATAGGACGAGAGATACACGCACTTTTACGCGACGCAAAAATCCCCACGCCTAACGGTCAAAAGAAGATAATTTCAACACCACAAATTGAAAAAAAAAAAATGCATGAAAAATGAATCAGTAACAACTCTAAATCCCTATATCGCACCCCACCATGGTGGTTTTCGGTGGCTAAGGTCGCGGTTGGGTGGTGATTCTAGCGAGTGAAAATGGAGAGAAAGTGGATGATTTTTTTTTTAATTATTTATTTGGGATTTATTTGTATTTTATTGAAAAATTTAGTATTATGGTTGCAACTTATTCTTTATTTTTCTTTTCTTTTTGTTTTATTTAAATAAGATGGTATAATTGTGATTTTATTGAAAAAATGTATGAAAGAACGATTTCCACAATGAAACGTGGAAATATGGCTGAAAATGCAAAAAAATTGAAACATTGAAACGTTTTACACAATAAACTTCGAACGTAGGGACTTTTTGTGCTAATAACTTGTTTTAAAAAATTGAAACCTAAAAATGGCTTCAAAATGGCAAACCAAACGCACTCTGAGCTACTTGTATACATATTGCTTACACATTTGTTAACAGATGATGAGGTGGTATACAGTTTGACCATTAATTTGATATTCAAATCAATTGCCAAATTACATGTCACCTCATCGCCTATCAAACTTTCTGTCAACAAAAGTATACATGTAGCATGGTGGTAAGGAAATGCTCATTAGTAAATTTTATATCTGTTTGGCATGATTTGTATTAGTAAAGCATCTCTAAAAGACTAATTATAAAGATCATCTTATACATAATAGAGAAATCTTTAAATTTAAAGAGTAAATTTTTTTTATGCACTCCTAACAAATCTATCAATTTTGATTATTTATTTTGTTTTTTAAATGAACATTTATTGATTTTTCTTCATCTCTTATTTAACATATCTTTTTATATGTTAACAATCAATCAATTCAAACGTGATTTGATTAATTTAAACAAAACTGCTAGGCCCTGTTTGGTTTGGATTAAAATTCAATTAAAATTTCAAGTCAAAATCAACGATTAATTTTAATCACACATTTGATAGGACCGTAACTTTTCAACCACGTATTTTATTAACTTTTATCAAAATCAAATAAAAATATGATTTTAATTTCAACCAAACAGGGCTAGATGTACAAGTATACCTTTAGTTTGACATTTGATGTGTTGTTAAAATAGGGTTGGAGAGAAAATTGTTTATTTTTTTAAACAGTTCAATAGTATCACGTGACAAAATGTAAAGGATGATGTATATGTAGTATGATTGTAATTTAAATTGCAGAGTATTGAAATTTGTAACTTAATAAATACAATTATTATTAATTAAGAATAGAGACTGGTTTGGTTCTCTAAATTTAGAGAGGCAAATCCACTCATTATTATAAGATTATTTTCAAAAGACAAAATACTATTTATTTTGAAGAGTTAATACTTAAAAATAAGGTCTCAACTTAGAGAGTGATTTTGGCTCATCAAATTTAAGGAGTTAAACTCATTATCTATTCTTAATGTACAATGATTGTATTTAGTAAATCACAAATTTTAATCATCTACTTAAACTATCAGATTTAAATTGATTAGTCATCGAGAAATAAAAATTATTTTAAATAAAATGAGGTAAATCAATAAATGTCTTTTTGAGAAAAACAAAATGAAAAGATAAAATAGAAAACGTTGTTAAGAGTGAATAAAAATGTACTCATCTAAATTCCTGTTTGGCCCACATTATTTTTTTCATTCTCATTCTTCTACTCATTTTCAACCACACATTCTTCAATAAAATAATATTTTCCATCACATCAATAACTTTTCATTCATTTTCAACTACATATTCCACATCACATCAATAATAAAAATACAACGTTGTTAAGAGTGAATAAAAATGTACTCATCTAAATTCCTGTTTGGCCCACATTATTTTTTTCATTCTCATTCTTCTACTCATTTTCAACTACACATTTTTCAATAAAATAATATTTTCAATCACATCAATAACTTTTTCTTTTTTTTCAACCACATATTCTCTATCACATTAACAGTAAAAATACATTTTTACCTTCAAAATGTGTACCAAACGGGGGCTAAATATATTCTCTTTAATAAATAAGATGCTCTAAAAAGTTAAAATAGAGGCATTGACCTTCTAAAATAAAAGAGTATTTTATATTTAAAAAATCTTTTGAAAATTAAATTATGAGTCATAAATAATACAACCCTTGTTGATCCTTTGTTCAATGCAGCACAGGATGATATACTGCGCTATTATTTGCACTTGTTTATTTTAAGAATTAAGCTCCTTTGCCAGATGAAATTTGCCCACCTGGTTGACCTACACTCACATTCGAGTGGGACCCGTGCCGAACCCACATGAATAAAAAATGCAAAAACATACATCCACCCACCCCATCTGGCACCCTAGCTTGATTGTTATTTTAATTTTGTGAGAATTTCTCCACTCCAACTCCCATCTTCAATCATTCTTAAAAAATAATAAATAAAAAAATTATATCTATATTTACATATTTCTTCGTAACTTTTTTTTTTTAAGCATGCGTTCAACAAAAATAAAAACACTAATAAAAAAATCTTTATTTGTTAACAATACAGTTTCACCCTATAAATTAATGGTAAATTACAAGAACGCCATGAAATTCGTCGAGTCAATTAGGGTGTGTTTGATAGAGTTGTTTTTCCATGAAAAATGAAATTGATTTTCCATTTTCCATGTTTTTTGGTGTTTGATAGTATCTTTTTCCATGCCAAATGTTTTCCACCCTCCCCCCACACGTGCATTTTTTCCCTTAAATTGGTGAATGGAAAAGATTTTTCAGGTGCTTCTTTTTTTTTTTTGGCAATAGACACAAATTTCATAACCAATTGTAAAAAAAATTTTCATTTTAATGAACAATTTTCATATAAAACAAAGTCAAACAAATATTAAACTTTGATAAAAAAATGATTTTTTAGGAAATATTTTTTTTCTTTTTTTCTTTTTTTACTTTTTGGTAATAAAACAAATTTTATAACCAATTGTGGAAAAAATTATCATTTTAATGGACAAATTTCATGTAAAACAAAGTCAAACGAACACAAAATTTTAAAATTTTTCAGGTGGAAAATTATATCAATCAAACATATTTAATTACCAATTCCCTGCAAAATAATTTATGGACAATTACTTTCCCTAGAATTCATTTACTGAAATACCCTTGCAATCAAACGGACCCTTAAAAGATTTTTGTCTTTCGACTTGCGTGCCATGCCATGTCCTAATAGTTTGGCCTTTGTTACAACAGAGATGTTCCCCTACGTGTTACTGTAATTTATACTTCCAACAAAAAGAATTATATAAGTGGGATTAAGTAAATAACAAAAGGAATTGCCAAAGCAAACAATTAGAACTCTGCTAATTCAACAAACACTACACAATTGGGATTAAGAAAGCAACCTCATACAAAGCCACGTTTTTTCCTTAGGCAATGGCCAAAGCAAACACTCCATGCCCGTCAATCAAGTCACATAAATAACCACTAAACAGACTTTAACAACGACCAACAAATGGATGTGAGCACTGACCATCTGTCGTTACAACTTAGTCTATGTTGGTCGGAGAGTGCTGCTGCTTCCTCCAGTTGGGTTCGATTCTCCCATTCTAGATGCCAAAGAAAGAACTTCAGGTGACATTTCCCAGCTTCCACTTTTCCTTCCCCAACTGGCTCGCCTGGGATGTATTCCAGCACGATCACCTGCATCTACAGTGTTCCTTATCTCTGGGGACATTTCGCCTAGTCCACGATCCTTGATGTTTAAGCCATCGTTGTCACTTACCTGCCCTTCGTGTTGATCCAAGAAAGCACCAACATCTCCCCACACTGCCTTCCTTCCCATCTCAATGTCCACTACCGCTTTACCCATATTTGGACCAACAAAACCCCCACCCACAGATCGAGCCGGCAAAGCAGGTTCCCTTGGTACCTTTGCCCTAAAATTGTTCTTAGATGGATGGACAGGGCTGCAAAATATTTCCTTGAAGTTCTGCACAACTCCTTTGTTATAGGGATTGGCACGCAGATCATATCGATTTCTAAAATTCTCGTAAGTAGTCTGCAAAACAGCATGCAAACCTTTTTCCGTTGGTCGGAATAAAAGCATGATATTCTTACTGATAGACCTAAATCAATATCAAAATTTCACATACAGGGTGGGTTGAAGAGAAAGGTAAGCTCTTACCTGATCTGTACTGATGAGATACAGATGGAATGCAGTAAGACCACCAACAAACCAAACTGATATAAAGGTGTCGACAATTAGAACAATAGAAGCAGGGGTCTTGACCATTGCTTTCCATATCGATAAGTCGTCAGTATCCATAATCCTTTTTATGTAAATCCAGCAGAAACTGAAAACATATATACAAAGAAGAGTCGTCGAGAAGACAAACATGAAGAAGAAACGGTAGTTCCTCTGCAACCAAAGTCGTTAAAGATTCAGAACACGTGTCCAGTTGTATTTATAAACCACATGACGTAACAAGACAACAGTGTCTAACTGTCTATAGTTATAGGCAATAGGTGGGAGATTCAGCCCTTGTTTGATCCACATTATTTTTCTTATTCTCATTCTTCTACTCCTTTTCAACTACACATTCTTCAATAAAATAATTTTTACATCACATCAATAACTTTTCCTTCTTTTTCAACCACATATTGCTCATCACATCAACAGTAAAAATGCATTCTTACTCCTAAAGTGTGCACCAAACAGGGGCTCAGTTCAAGACAATGCGAAAAAGTAAACACCTTATGACAGATTTACCCTAAACATAATGGTTCTAGATACATAATGGTTCTAGATCAGAATAAAATTCTGACCTTAAATTGTCAAGCAAAGGGTATCGGCAATTGTGTGCTTTCAAAAATAAAACCTACTGTTGATTTTTCTTTACCAGAAGGATCGACTTGGGATATGCAATGAACGCAATGGAAAAATTGCACAAACCGGCACAATTTGATTCCATTCCCTCCATCCAGAAATAAAGACCTAGTTTGATTGTTGCAGTCAAACAGACAAGTTATTTCATAGCCACGTTTTGTATAGATTTCTTTCAATTTTGGCTGAAAAGGTTTTCAAATAGTAGTATTTGATAAAAGAAATTTCTAACCATGCCAGTATATTCTTTCACAAGAAACAACACACTTAAGTTATGGATTTAATGTGAAAGTCAAATCAAATTAATGAATTATGGATGCAATTAAGGATGCAGAGCCAATTAATTAAGAAATTGAAGAAGTAAAAATTGGAATGCAATGAATGCCATGCTATAGCAGGGTGTGAAGATGATGCTATAAAAGATAGACTAGAGCACAACTTTTCACATACCAACATCAATATTAATATTCAGAATCTCAAGCATAAAAGCATATTTAGAAATAGGGTTATGCATTAACATCTACTAAATCTTGATGTATTCCCAAAGTTCAAATACATAGAATGCCTACTTATTCGCATAAAGTGCAAAGACCAACTACAAAACCAATAAATCACCACCTATGATGCACCGACACAGACACTTATATCTGACATGCGATTTTTTAAAAAAGTACTGACACGACATGTTGATAAGTTCTTTAAAATTCCTCATTTATATAGTACAAATTTAGTTTTATACTTGTTATTAATTTTTCTTATTGAAATCTTTTAAATATGAATACATATTTGTTATTTACTAATAATTTTGAGTTAAAAATATATAATATTTTAATAAAAATGAAAAATGTTTATGGTAGAGTGTTCGAGACGTGTCAGCATCGACACGTGTCGGACAAGGGCATGCTATGCTAGTTGAAGTGCCTGTGCTACAGAGATCACCACAAATTCAATGGCCAACCACATTTTATATGTCCAATAAATTATATGATAACAAATTTGTGCAATGCACAAAGGCCAACCTTAAAACCAAACTCCAAGCAAGCATATGTCAACACTGATAATTCATACTACTCTGCACTTCTTTCGAAGCAAATTTGATTGTCATTTATTTAAAATTTGTTCCACATCCAAGAATTAAGTACTGCATATATAATGTCAAAAATTGAGAGAGAAAAATTTAGTGTGCTGCTTTTGCTGAATTTGCTTCTCTTCTTTAGGCGATGATAAATTGGAGATTAGATATTGACGAAGTAGCAATGGAAAATAAAGTCATGTACTAGTATTACTTTCAACCTGGAAAAGATGTCAATTTTAATGCTCTTAAGAGAATGCATTCTTACCAGTCCAATGCACTGCCCCACCCAAGGGCAGTGATGATCAAATCGTTCAACACAGTTATTACAAATTGAACAGTGAGAGCAGCGGGGAGGTCGATAAAGCATGCAGGTGTCGCAGTACTTAATCTTCACAGTAAAGCCATTGACCTCAACTTCCTTGATGCGAGGCAAGCGTAACTGTGGGGTTTGTGCTCCTTCTGCACTTCCATTGTAACCTTCAGGTTCTGGCGGATGAGCATTACGAGGAATTATACCTGGATCTCTTCCAGAAGTTAGTAGGAGAAGAATTAAATCCTGAAAATTCAACAGAGAAATTTTTTTAATCAACATCAAATTAAGCTTCAAGATTCTTGTACATGACATGCACAAAAAGTATGTGTCTAGTTATGCTAACTATTGATGACATTCTAAAGGCCACAAGAAACAAAATAAGGTCTGGAGTAAGGAAGCATGATCCTTCCTCATCTAAAACATCTTTTTGTTCTTATCAAAAAAAAAAACATCTTTTTGTTGGCCATGGAACCTCAAAATAATCCATCAGCATCAAATACAATGTGGTGATAATCCCTAGCACCACCTACAAAATCTATTTTGATCAAACTTCTTTGATAAATAAGCAAATGTGTCAACTAAGACTTAAAACATGATTGAGAGTGCTACATTTGTAATGCATAGAAAAGCTAACTAAATCATGTAATTTACGAAGTAAAACCATACAACAATGAAGGTTATACTTGAAGGCCAACCTCCTGTTATAGGTCTAACATACAATAAGCCAGTACAAAGGCAAACTGACAGCAACTACATGTCATGGCGATAATTTACCTTATCAAGCAAAGAACTTGGTTTTCCTTGGAATCTAAACAGATTATTTTAATAAATAATACAACATAGCCTCCTTTTTTTTTGGGGGGGGGGGGGGGGGGGGGGGGG